AAAATAAAATAAAATAAAATAAAATAAAATAAAATAAAATAAAATAAAATGAATTTCACCAATGACAGTGTTTGGTCAAAATCTTTGAAACTTTTTTTTTCCCAGAAAACTAAGCTGATAAAGCAGCTACAGTATCTCTATGCATATCACTGTAAAATAGACATTATTCTTTACAGTCATTCTATGTTGTTCAAGTTCATTGCATGCATACAAAATGATTCTTCTCATAAAACTAGAATTCGGATGCTTTCCCTGACACCCCACCCCAGAACGTATCTGAATACAAGATGTCATGACTCTACTATTTTATGTTTATAAAACATTTTGGAGAAAGTTAGAGATTAATCTAACTGTTGTAACCACCACATCTGGCATTGAGTTCATTCTGATATATTTTATAACTTATTTTTTTAAAATATCCCTTTGGAGGTGAATTGTCCATATGGCTCTCCTTGCATCACCTTTCTGCGTTTCATTTCTAATACGTATGGTTGATGAGGCAGAAAGAAGATGAGTTCAAATCTAATGTTTAATTACAGCTTAGTAGACCAGGTATGACACTGATTATATTTTTATTTTATCTATGTTCTTTTTGGTGCCAATTAACATCATTATTTAAAAGCTCCTGGGTTTTGTTTTCATATTGATCCACCTAAGAAGCAAAGGTTTTGGTTCAAAATAACCCTAGAATATGTAGAGAACTTATTTGAATTTGCTTAGTATAGTAAGACTAAGGATATAAAATAATTACAGTAATAATTGATCAAATATATGTATTATTGACTATTGGAGGTTATTAGAAAATCTGGGGAACACTGAGTAGATACTTGGGCAGACTCTTGTTTCAGAGCCATTTTCTGCTCCTGATCCTCTCTTTAGCATTTTCTCCACTCTGACACTCCATTCAGCCTTGAAAATTCTCCTTCCCCAACCCCTGCACACTTTTATTTCCCTCTTGAGAGTAAAACAGAAGCAAGAATATAGAGGCTAGATACATATACTTAATTGGATGAAGAGTGATTGTGAATCACTAAATAAAGGTAAAAATGAATCTTGTCTATATATTTTTTTGAACTACTAATGAGTCCTTCCCAATAGAAAGTGGGTGAGATAAAGAGATAAATTTGGAAATATTTGCATGTATGTTTTTAATTTCAGGTGAAACTACTGGGCCATGGACAGCCACTTAACTGGATTTCTTTGGAGCAAAATGGCATTATGGTAGAACTGCCACAGCTAACCATTCGTCAGATGCCATGTAAATGGGGCTGGGCTCTAGCACTAACTAATGTGATCTAAAGTGCAGCAGAGTGGCTGATGCTGCAAGTTATGTCTAAGACTAGGAACTATCGGGTGTCTATAATTGTAGCACATGGAGAAAGCAAATGTAAAATTGGATAAGAAAATTATTTTGGCAATTCAGCTCTTTCCCTTTTTCCCACTAAATTTTTTCTTAAATTACCATTTTAACTCTCCAGTGCACTTTGCCATTAAAGTCTCTTCACATTGATTTGTTTCCATGTGTGACTCAGAGGTGAGAATTTTTTCACGTTAGAGTAGCAAGGAATTGGTGGTATTATGGACTGAACTGAACATTTTATGTTGAAACCATATCCCCCAACTTGACTATATAGTTATGTATCACTTAACAATGGGGATATTTTCTGGGAAATGCATTGCTAGTCAATTTTTTTTTTATGCCAACATCATAGAATATATTTACAAAATCCTAGATGGCATAGCCTACTACACACCTAATGTGTATGGTATAGACTATTGCTCCTAGGCTACAGACATATTCAGCATGTTACTGAATACTGTAGGCAATAGTAACACAGTGGTATTTGTGTATCTAAACATACGGAAACATTGAAAAGGTACAGTAAATATACTGTAAAATAAATGGTGCACCTATACAGGGCACTCACTGTGAATGGAGCTTACAGGACTGGAAGTTGCTCTGGGTGAGTTAGTGAGTGAATGGCGAGTGAATGTGAAGGCCTAGGACATTATTGAACACTACCAGACTTTATAAATACTGTATGCTTAGGCTACGCTACATTTATAAAAAGTGTTTTTCTTTCTTCAATTAAAAATTAACATAAGCTTACTGACTCTTTACAAAGTTTTTAATTTTTAAAACCTTTTTGGCTCTTTTGTAATAACTTAGCTTCAAACATAAACTCATTGTGCAAATGTACAAAAATATTTTCTTTCTTTATATTCTTATTCTATAAGCTTTTTTTCTATTTTTAAAATTTTTAACATTTTACTTTTACAGAAACACACACATTAGCCTAGGCCTACATGGGGTCAGGATCATCAATGTCACTGTCTTCCATCTCCACATCTTGTCCTGCTTAGAAGGTTTTCAGGGGCAATAATACCCATGGAGCTGTCATCTCCTATAACAATGCCTTCTTCTGAAAAACTTCCTGAAGGACCTGCCTTATGCTGTTTCACATTTTTTTTTTTTTTAAGTAGAAATACACTCTAAAATAATGACAAAACATATAGCATAGCAATACATAAACCAGTAACCTAGCTGTTTATTATCAAGTATTATATACCTTACATCATTTTATATGCTAGATTTTTATACGACTGGCAGCACAGGTTTGTTTACACCAGCATCACCATAAACAATGTGATTAACGTGTTGTGCTATCTTATGATGGCTATGATGTCACTACGTGATAGGAATTTTTAGCTCCATTATAATCTTATGGCACCACCAATATATATGCAGTCCATTATTGACTGAAAAGTTGTTATGTGGTACATGGCTATATTTTGAAATAGGGCCTTTAAAGAGTAACTAAGGTTAAGTGAGGTCATAAAGGTAGGGCCCTCAAGCCAATAGGACTGATGTCCTTATAAGAAGGGGAAGACACACCAGGGATACAAGTGCACAGAAGAAAGGCCGTATAAAGACAGTGAGAAGGTGCCATCTGCAAGTCAAGGAGAGAAGTCTTTGAAGAAACCACATCTGCTGATACCTTGGACTTTCAGCCTCCAGAACTGTGAGAAAATAAATTTCTGTTGTTTAACCTGAGTAGAGGTTGTGTTTTCTATTCCCATTTGCTGCAATGTATGTTTACCAAAGGCTGTTTGAGTTTGTGACTGTAGTGGGTCAAATAGTGTTCCCCAATAATCTATGTCCACCTGGAACCTCAGAATGTATTCTCACTTGGAAATCATGTCTTTGCAGATGTAATAGGTAAGTATTGAGATAAGCTCATATTGGATATGGGTAGGTTCTAAATCCAATGACAGTATCCTTATAAATGACAGAAAAGGACACAGAGACAGAAAAAGGCCATGTGATGACTAGGCAGAGATTGGAGAGGAAGCATGGCCCTGCTGACACCTTGATTTTGGATTTCTAGCCACCAGAAGTGTGAGAACAAATTTCTCGTTTTAAGCCACTTACGGAGTGGTAATTTGTTACAGCAGCTCTAGGAAACTAATAGTTACCAAATAAATTGATTATGCCGGGTGAACTTTTTATGATGATTTTAAGAGCCAATGACGCAAGTGTGAAGAGTTGTAGTTTCCATGAAAGCCAAGTTAAATACTTTGGAAAGACTAGATAAAAGTTTGTTGACTTTAAAAATTAAAAATAATAATAATAATAATAATAAGCTATTGGTTAAGTGTGGGCAGAACTGTTCTAAAAGATTGGGGGAAAATATAGTAAAAATCTTCAAGAATTCTGCATCTCTGGTTCACACCTATGACACTTATGACATTACATGTAGTTTGTACAAGAAAGATAATTAGATTACAAGCTCCAGTTTGTAATCCCAGCTACTTGAGAGGCTGAGGTGGGAGAATCCTTGAGGCCAGGAATTTAAGAAAGATAATTAGAGAACATCTATTAGCAGACTTATATGGGAAAGCAGCTATGCTGTACCACACTATGTCACCAGCAGCCCAATTGAGTAGACCTACACTAAAAAGTTAGAAAAAACCTGGATCCTATAGTAAATAAGTGATAAATATAGAACATTTAAAAGTTAAAATGTCTATATATGTATTTTTATGACATCCTGATTTACATAACTTTTTAGATTAAACAACTAAAGGTTTCTGATGAGAGGGCTCCTGCTATACTATTAGAAAGCAGATATGTACTATCTAAGACCAATTAACTTTATTTTTATATTTATTCATTTTTTTGAGACAGAGTCTCACTCTGTCGCCCAGGCTGGAGTGCAGTGGCATGATCTCAGCTCACTGCAACCTCTGCCTCCCAGGTTCAAGTGATTCTCCTGCCTCGGCCTCCCAAGTAGCTTTACATACATGTGGTTTTTACCTTGTCGTCTCTTCCACTGCCACAATTATACAGATGCGTATGATTCCAGGAGATAATTTGCAGCTGATCAAATTTGTATCTCACAAGGCCACACCTGTTTAGTCTCAAATTTTCCCTGGATGAAATCCTGGGTTAATTTTATTGGAAGAGATGCGTGCCCATTACACACACATTCCCTAATTTCCCAAAATGCTATTTTTCATTTACCCTATTAAAAATGAGAATATCATATTTTGTCAAATTTTGGAAAGAAGCATTTTCCCTCCTCTCCACCTCCACTTTTTTTTTTCCAGACACAGTCTCACTCTGTCACCCAGGCTAGAGTGCAGTGGTGCAATCATAGCTCACTGCAGCCTTGACTTACTGGGCTCAAGTGATTCTCTCACCTCATCACTGCAAATAGCTGGGACTATGGGCACATGCCACTGTGCCTAATTTTTTTGTAGACAGAGGATTTTACCATATTGCCCAGGCTGGACCATTATCTTTTTTTTTTTTTTTTTTTTTTTTAAGTTTTCAATATTTTGCTCAAGGTTTTTTTTTTTTTTCAAAGTTAATTATAGCATTTGAAGAAGAGGATCTAATTCCACACAAAATGGAAGACTCTAAAATGTATCCATTAAACTGTAAAAATAAATAGAGTGGTGAGAATACCACATAAAGCCCAATTTAGATTCTGAGTGCTGTCTGTGATTACAATTATACAGACTCTTCCAAACATAGCTAGAGCTCCTGGCCAAGCTTATAGCTAGAGCTCCTGGAAGCTATTTTTTTTTTTTTTTTGAGACGGAGTCTCGTGCTCTCGCCCAGGCTGGAGTGCCGTGGCCGGATCTCAGCTCACTACAAGCTCCGCCTCCCGGGTTTACGCCATTCTCCCGCCTCAGCCTCCCGAGTAGCTGGGACTACAGGCGCCCGCCACCACGCCCGGCTAGTTTTTTGTATTTTTTTAGTAGAGACGGGGTTTCATCGTGTTAGCCAGGATGGTCTCGCTCTCCTGACCTTGTGATCCGCCCGTCTCGGCCTCCCAAAGTGCTGGGATTACAGGCTTGAGCCACCGCGCCCGGCCTGGAAGCTATTTTATACTCTGATGCAAGGACAAAAAAAAACACAACTCAGGAAGGAATTAAGTTCTGAATTATTGGTTTCATCACATCTACCCTCTCTACCCCAAAACTGCACAAAAGAAACAGTGACCACACCCTGTAGATCTTTTTGTGTAAAAGAGGTAATGAAGAACTGGGACGGGAACAAGTCATGAAGATCTGTCTTAAAAAGATCCCTTTCAGGTAAGTTTGTACACACCATCACGCAACGAGCCTCTCAACAATTATGGTTAGGAAACCAGGTTCAATTCTCAGGAAATCCCAATTTCATTCATTTACTCAATATGAATTTACAAGGTGCCTATATATTATCAGCTTCCACTTGCAGCCATTTCTAGATAAAAAAGAAACCTGGCATCTCTACAGGGGCCACCAAGTTCCCCAAATCTACCACTGAAAGGACCTTTTTGGAACTGGGTTTCTTCTGTACCTCTGAAAGGGTAACACCTTAAAGCTGAATCATCTTTAACTTGGAGGTCCAACATGACATTTAGCAATACTTGCAACCCAAACATACATTAAAAGATACACTAAATTCTGAAGGCAGCTATGCTGCAAAATGATTTAAACAATTCTACAGCATTCATTTATGCTTGCAATTCCAGTCCTAGACCAAGTTTGTGGCCACCAGCATAAATGTTCTTGCCACCCAGGAGAGCTGACAGTGTCAGTTTGATACCTGGCTTTAGGCTTTGAGTGTATCCTAAACCTATCAGGCTGGAGTTGTTCACTTTAGTGGAGAAGTGGGCTTTAGGGTCAATCTGATACTTGGCTGCTATTCCGAAGTGAGTGTTACTGTTTCCTGCTATCCCAGAGAAACTGACAGCAGTCTCCAACTTCTTGCTCACCTTCTGGTAATTGGACCTGCCAAACTGTCCTGTCATTCACATTAGTGTGAAGCTAGAATTCAGTCTTGTGGCCAACCGCAAAGTTGCTCTGCGTCACTCAGGACTTCGTGGTCTCAAAATTCACCTGGTAGCTGGCCAGCCAACCCTCATAACCCAGCACTTAGAGCGCCTCGGACTGAAGGCCCAGCAACGTCCAAATCCATGTCGCAGCCCAGGTTAATGCACTCCCGCTTGTATCCTGTCTTGGTTTTAGCATTTTCCCCCCAGTGTCAGGGGAGAAGGATGAATGGAGGGTCAGCTTCAGTCCACATGTTAACTGATCTCCCATAGTAATCTCGGTGCCTAGAGTGTTTTCAGTGTTCCATTTCCTTGTAAATGTCAGGCCATATTCGCTCTATCTGTACGTGGTTTCCAGACTGCCTGTCACTTTGGTGGTCTAAGTGTTGGCTGAGCCTGAGCTTGTAAATTCCAATCCATTCTCAGATTTTGTTTTCAAATCAGGTTTTATTAAGCCAAATCCATATCCCTTGGTGAAGACATGCTTGGCAGATTTGCCAAGATTAGCATATGTGAGTGGCACGGCCACCTTCTGCTCAGAGACAATGCCAGTGGGCTCAGAGGTCTATGTTGAGGGCTATGGCTCCTCTACCTATTTTTAAAAACATTCTAGACACAAACTCCCTAGCAGTCAGCTCCAGGCCTAGCCGGCCTTAGAAGAGACCTCATAATTTATTTTCTACCTTCTACTGTTCAGCTACATGTTATGTTGGAGGAACATAAAACAATGTTACTGAAAATATATGTCAACATACTAATGATACATAACGATTTACTTTTGCCCTAATTACCCTTCTAAATGAAGAATTACAGATGTATTACTAGAGACAATGAATTATTTCTTTTCCAGAAAGTAAAGCTATTTGCTTTTTACTAAATGAACAAGTTAACAACAACAAAAAAGCACCAAGTACACGACCAATTAAAATGAAACTTAAACTAGCATGCTCTCTCTTCCGAAATAATAACAAAAATGCTATGGGATAAGTAAATTAATAGCTGAAAAATATTAACTCAACAAAATAATATTTTACTAAAATAGTTTATTGCAGTAAGATTTTCACTGTATTCAAAATCAATACAAAGTAAGTTTTTAAAATTATATAGGTACATACAAATGATTAAAACTATGTAATTAGGTGAGTAAACAGCATCAACACAATTTTAGCCTCTAAATCAATATGTAACTTTCTAAGTCTTGCTAATAAAACCTTAAAAAATATAGTGAAGAAATAGCAAAGGAAAAATAGTTCATCATAGTTGTTGAAATTTACTACTTCCATAAGAATAAAAAAGTCTTCCATCAAGGTATATTTGAGACAAATAATTTATTATTTTGAAGGGTAGCTAGAGAAAAGTCAGATTCACTTCTGTTTACAGCAGTCTAGGGAACATTATAATTAAACAGCGTATTTTCCCAAAATTCACACATCCTAGACCTATGTCTCCAACAGATATTTTTCCTCAGTGTTAATATGGCAAAGTACACTGAATTTCATATTCATATATATATGTATATAAAATATCTACATTGATTTTTAGTCAGTTTGGAACGAATGTCCATGTGTAACAAATTATTAACAATTCTGATATTTGCACATGTTTACATATATGTGCCCACAAAAACTGGTCTGTTGATGAATCTAAAAAAATATATTAAGATGCCAAATAAATTGATTTCATTATGAAATGAAGACTTTTATTAAGAATATATTTTATCAGAC